TTGTTTTTCTTTACAAGACCCTAAGGTTTTTACACAATAGCCTTTGCAATAACATTTGTTGTATGTTATGCGTAGGTATAAAACAAATATTTTAGTTATCGACAAATAATCAAATATACTGATGTACTTAAAGTAATTTTTTATTAAACTAATTCACATAAGTTAATTTATAATAAACAAATAAGTTAATTTCAACTGAGTATAAAATAAGAGAAGATAGTTTTAATATTCAATAACAACTTGAAAAACTTAATACTTTATTATTTATGAGAAGAAGTGAACCATCAAAAAATTTAGTTCATCAAAGAGAAATTGAAATATACCAACATTGTCTGTTTAAATATGATTGTGAAGAAGAAACTGTTGAACAACAAGAAAGTACTTCTATATTAACTGATATTGACCAAACAGGAGTAGAAGATGCTCTTGTTTTATTAAATGAAACAATGGAAATATTTGAATCTTTACATGAACAATTTTATAATGATTCATATTCACTAACAACACCGTCTGTAGTGTTATTGAGTCAATTATTATCATACCAAGTACCATCATTAATTGATGAGTTAGTTTGTGATATTTTATTTATCAAAACAATTAAAACATAACAAATTTAAATAAAACAGAATGAACTTAAAAAGACTAAATTAAATGAATGTATTATAATCGACAATGGTGTAGATATAATTGGATATGTTGATAAAGAAGAATATATTGGATATTTATTAATGAATTATAAAGGGGATATTATTAAAAAGTTAATAGAATATATCAAAGGTTCTTCTGGAAATGCAATGATATCTTCTTCATATTTTAATGAAAATGAAATATTAATATTAATAAGACAAGGACTAATTACTGAGCAAAGAAAAGAAAGTGTTATTGAACATAAATTATTATATCCAAATCAATTTGTTTTTGCTGAAAATTTAAATAAATGGAGAAAAAAGATTATTACTACAATTGCTTCATCACCATTTCATATTATTCAAAAAAAGGTTTGTACTTTATAATATAATAAATTTAATTATATTTATATTAAGATATAGAAATTAGAAGAACGTTATGATATGATGTGTTTTAGTTTGGAATATCTTTTAACTGACCTTCTTGCCAATTCTTCAGTTCGATTGTTTGGAGTTATTGTCTTCTTTTATTAAATAAATAAAACCAAAAGAATTAATAGAAATAGAGTTATTAAAGATACCGTAGAGTATATTGAACTATTGAAATAGCAAATAAACTATATTAGTTAACTTTCTATTGACACTTGTTTAGTTTTAAAAAAAACTATAGAATATTCTTTCTTTTTAAGAAAATTTTTTTGAGAATATAATTAAAACTAAAAAATTTCAATGTACTCAAGATTTTTTCAACAACTTGATTCACTTGTTCAACATGAATTAGAAATTGATTATAGATCGATGGTATTTGTTTTTACCTTTGATCCCATAACTCATCAAGCTCAATTTTTATCTTCATCAAAATTTACTATTTTATTAAATAGAGAATTATTAAATAATTTAGTCATTATGGCAACGGCTCAAACTGATGAACCATCAAATCATACAGATGCTATAGCATGTTATAAAAAAGGCACTTTCTCTCTTGAAACATATAACAATACTTTTACTGAAAGAAAAATGGAAATGGAACAACCTCATTATGCTCAAGTTCATTACCAACCACCTACTCAACGTCCTTTACCTCCAACACCTACTCCTCAACAACTTCATCAAAGAATTCAAGAACAAATGGAAGAAAAAATGCAAATGAGTACTTACTCTTCTGAAAATACTTCTCCAAGGGTTGCTGTGTGTCATGAAGTATCTCCTACTTTAGGTAATGTTGAAGAACTTTCTAAAGAAAGAATCCAATCTCTTCCAACTCCAATAAAAGCAAATCAACGCCTTGGTGAATCAAAAAGAAAAAGAAGTTCTACTCCAATAAGAGTATGTTCATATCAATCTGTTAAATCAACAATTGATGACTCAACTAAATTAAAAATTATTTCTGCAATATCTCCTGAAACAATGCATAAATAAGGTTGTATTTTTTAATTCTTTTAATCATTTAAAATTCTTTTGTTTAGTGTTTCTTTAAAAAAAATTGTAATATCTCTAAAATGTTAATAATTAAGTAATTCGTTTAATACTCATAATGAATCTTTAAGAAAATAGGTGATGAGATTGCTGGAGAATTGATTATTAACTCTTCTCCTTCCTTAACTCCAAGCTGACGTAACTCTAGTACTAAATTTTTCTCTGTTTGTTCTTTTAATGGTCCTCGAGAAACAAAAATAATTTGTCCACTTTCTAACCCTATGCTTGGGTTAGAAACTTGTAACTCAGGGTCATCACTAATTTCGTCAACAAGTTGTTGTAATGTAAAAGTTGTTGGAATGCTTTTGTTCATTGTTTGCATATCACAAACTAAACATCCTTTCTTTTTTTCTAAAGATTCAACAGAAGTATTAATTCCATCTTTGCCATAATAAACCAAATAATTATCAAGATTATTTGCACATCCAGTAGCATATTTAAATGTTTCGTTTGCTGTTTGTGCAGCAATAAGTGAATTTGTAGAAGCAATGGCTGGCATAATATTTTTAATAACTCCTAATGTTAAACGATAAGTAACTCCAGAAATATTCTTTTCTTCCGCACGTTGTAAAGCATGTTCATAAACCCATTGTACATGAGCTGGATTATCTGCATCAACTTTAGTTCCATGTGGAAATTCTGTGTTTATTGTTGGATTTTCCCATGCTATTTGAGAAGCCCAAACAATACAATGTTCTGGAAGTCTTGGTTGTGAAGCAATAGTACACATAGGGAATGTTTTCTGTGGTGGGAAGAGAGATATAATACAATCTAAACATGGACCAACTTTAGGAACAATAACCATAACATGTCCTTGGAATCCTTCTGTTCCACCATCAATCAATGGAATAATAGTATTTGGATCAATTTCCCCATTCCTTGTTTCTACTAATGAACATAATGTAGAACTCGTCCATCTTCGTGCTCCTAAATTATCTAATCCACTAATCACTAATTTGAAGGACTTATAAAATGATAATGGTTGGTCTTCTAATCTCCCAACAACATGAGTAATCTTACAACCAGGTACTTTTTTCATTACAAACTCAGCTGCAACTTCAGATTTTGGTCTTCCAACATCTTTTTTTCTAAATAAGAACTGTCTATTTAAATTAGAATATTCAATTGTATCCATATCTATAATTGTAAGGTTTTGAAATCCAACCATTGCCAATGCTTTTAAAACTTCACATCCTAGTCCACCAGCACCAACAACAAGTATTTTAAAGTCATGATAATCAATATTTCCTGCTTCTTCTGCAGTTCCTCCTGTTCTTTTTAAAAAGCTTTCAATTTGATGATATGATCTTGTCATTTGTTTTTCTGTCTTAAAATACAAAAATTTTTAAGTTCTTTTTAAGTTTTCATTCAGTGAGATTTATCTAAAACCTCAATATACAGTAAATGTTATATAAAACAAAATATAATAAAGATGTTGATAATTTTTTTCAAAGTTGGTAAAAATAGAGAAATCTTTGAAAAAAGTAAAACCAAAAATGAAGTTTTCAGAAAAGGTATTTAAATAATAAGAAATATTAATCGAAACGAAAAGAATTTCTTTATGAAAGGTAATGAAAACTAAACAAAAATTAGAAAAGAAGATACAATTTTAAGTTAGTTCTAATGGATGAGATGGAGATCTTTTTGATTTAAAAGATGAAGAAAACGTTTAGGGTATTTAAATAGAACTATTATTTTTAATAAGTATATAGAACATAATGCAAGAAATCATTGATCAATTTGCTATTGACAAAGAAAAGTTAGAAATTATTGTTCAAAGAATGAGTGAGGAATTAACTAATGGACTTCAAGATAAACCAAGTACTCTTAAAATGCTTCCATCTTATGCTCCTATTCCTACTGGAAAAGAAGTT